ATATTTCGCGCTGGAATTTCCACCCACAGCCCCAGACCCGAAGTGCGCGCGACGCGCCACCACCGCGGCGTGACGTAACAGAGTTGAGTTCGTGCACAAGTGCTGGTCCTATAAATGCTATGGGGGGATCGGTGGCCGAGTGGGCTAAAGCGCACACCCAGCTCGACGCGCGTGGAGCGAAATCTCGCGCTGCAGAACCCAGGGATCCTGGGTTCGAGCCCCACCCCTGCCCGTTTCGATCTGGATGAGCATCGTACCGGCGTGCGGTCGTGTATCACTACTGCGTGGTGCACGTTAAGAACCCCAGGCTAGCGGTTGTACTGCAGTGGCTAAATTGCTCATCTACAGCGAGGGACTCGTCGCAACTTTAAATGGCAGACTAACTACACGCTGTATAAATATCCCACAACCCCAAATAAATGCTATGCTTTGCAAAATAAACCGCACACAAGGAAAGTCATGTGTGTGCATATAAACTCACCGCAAAGCTGGAAATATTGAAATCAGCCTATACACCAACTCATGTTTACAAACAAACCGGAGCGCCCCTAGAGGACGCCACCGGCGCCGCGCATGCGCGATGGGGGTGTGGGAGAGAAGCTCGCCGTCACGGCGTCCCCTATAAAGAAACCACTGAAATGCGATGTTGTCGGCGTCGGTGTGAGTCCCCCTGCTCTTTTTCGCGTTCGAATTGTTGATTCTATGCCTTCCTGGCGATGTCTGACTACTTGAGGAGCGGCGTCAGCGAAATTACCGAGGCTCGTTACACCGCGAAACTCCGCGTGAATAATGTAACATGTGGCGATTCATTCCGCGTGGACGCCGCAGTATGTACGCTCAAACCTGATTCGAATGATGAGATTTCGCTCGCAATTTTCAGTCGCGACACCGCTCGGGCTGCAAAAGTGTGAACTGTAGCTGAGATGGTCGACGTCAATATTGAAAATCGCAAGCAAAATCGGACCAAGCCAATTAGGCATAGCAAGTCAGTGATGGTCACTGGTAACAATGATCACCATCTCTTGTATCTACTGTTTACATCGAGCCTGCTTACCAACCTTCAAACTTAAGACTTTTGAGACCTGCACTTACTTCCAGACTTGTACACGTTACTGAAAAATAGTAAGGAATTACATTTACAATTACTCAAGGTGAAATTGTAATTTATTACAATTACAATTACCCTCCCATGAAAGTGACTGACCGTTACCCCAAAAAGTAATCCGTTACTTTCGTGGCGTTACTTCGAACATTATTGTCCTCAAGTAAGAAACAAAGGGAAGAGGGTTATTCAAGTTCTTATTCTTGACACCTGTTCCATTTAATGACCTTGAGTATTTTGAGCAACAACTGGCTCTCGAATGTGTCGTCAAACATTTTGCATTATCTCTTACTCAATATGTCGACCGTTACGCTGAACACCATTTGAGCTGAGGCACTGGATGGGGGTGCCATATTGTTCCTCTCGAATGCTTCATGCTCTGCATTGAGCTTTTTCAGCGAAGCAGAGGAAGTACTATTTACCTCGAATGTAGAGCAAAGCTTCGTCGTTGCAGCCGTTGCCTGCTATTCGAGAGGTTTACTATATCCTTCCGATACCTTCGATACCCGCGATAGCGGTACCCGATAACGATATGAAGCATACGCAAAGACGGCGACGAAGTATCGGATACCGTTATCGGAGTCATCAGACCGATCTACTAAACTTCTCCATTCTCTAAATCACGAAGCTGTAAAAGACATCAATAGAAAAACATAGTTGTAACAGTAAGGTGATAATTCAATAATAAATAATGTTTGGCTCGATATTTTTCTTCCTTTGGTTCTGAACAGGTCGAGCCTCACTTGAGACGTTGGTGAATAAAAAAAAAGTTTCCAGTGTATAAATATAAGTAATAAAAGAAAAAGAAGGACACTCATAACAACAATTAATTAGAACGTCAGTTAAAACGGGGAAATGTCAACGCACGTTCGCCGTGTGTACCTTTCTTGGTGCCGTTCAAAAACGCACGGAGCACGAACCGACTGCAGTTTACTCCGGTGTTCTCCAGATAGACGTCCACTGGCAGCAAAGTGTAGAGTGCTAAGTAAGCCGTGCTATGGCCTCACTCACGAATTTCACTCTCTCCTCAAGCCCAGAATATCAAGTCTAAGTCAGCCATCATTATGTTTTATTTGCAAAAATATCTGCTTGAGATAAGATGCGTCCTGCTGGGGCAAAACAGGAAGAGGAAGAAAGGAAGACTATTACCATTTTCTAAATGCTCGCAAAAACCTGACTCACAAAAAGGGTAGGGTAGACCGTAGACGGAGCGTTGTCTCCCGTTGTGTTATTATGAAAATGGTCGTAGTCACTATATCCGAGAAGGAAATTGTTAATTCTTTTCAGTGCACTTACCGCCTCGAGCTTCTCGAAGAGGCGCACAATCACTTGGTGTTCTCCTCTCCCGGTCTTCGATCGCAAAGAAAAAACAAACGGACTAAAAAAAAGCGGAAATAACTTGCCCCCCCCCCCTTTTTTTTTTTTCGTGAATTGTTCATTTGGATCTTTTTGACATTGATGTTAGGGTCTAAAAAAATGATAGATTCAGGGGCTTGGTGTTGGAAAGAAAGGCTTTGCGGAACTGAAGAGTGTCAAGCCTCCCTTTGCGCTGGTCGATTCGCGTGACAGTGTCACTGCGCTCGACTTTACAAAAATGAAAGAAAAAAAAAGAAAAAACCTTTACTTAGAATGGGGAGGGGGGGGAGGGTTCGTTCTGACAAAAAAAAATGTAACGGATTACAAGGATTCCGTTACGACAAAAATGTAAGGGAATTACTTTAAAATTACTCTAGAAAAAAATGTAATTATTCCGTTACAAAATTACTGATAAATGTAAGGGATTACAAGTAATTTCGTTACTTGTAACGGATTACGTACAAGTCTGCTTACTTCTTATAGCAAGTACCGGGCCAACACTTGGTCTACGGGCCGGCGTCGTCTAAGAGAGCAGACGACAAGCAGAAACATTTGAAAGAGCAGAGGACAGTTCGAACGATCAGGCGGCCGTTTGAACTTGGAGACGCACTGAACGTAGTCCGCAGGTGGTCTGCACAACTTGATGGTTTTCTGACGTTCATGTTGGAACAAAACAAATAAATCTGATGACCACAAGTATCCGTGAATTCAACCTAAAGTGCTTCCCGCCCAAACAATCGTTGTCCGACGGCGTCTGCTTTTCCCTTTTCACGGCACATATCCAGATTCTCGGACGAACCGAGCACGTGAAAACGGACCTTCAAACCTTTCTCGGCTCTTTTGGTACGGCCCCAGTCCCGGCGTTTTGACGAGAAGGCCGGTTTTCGTCTGGTTCCTTCCAAAACAACGCAGCAATACACGTCTGGCATGGGGACTTCTGCCCACAGCCCCAGACCGGAAGTGCGACCGACGTGCCACCACCGCGCCGTGACGTCACAGAGTTGAGTTGGTGTATATGTGCAGGGACTTAGCAAAAAAAAAAAAAAAGTGAGTGCAAATAGATATACATTTACGTAAATTAAGAAGGTGAGTGTCGCAAGCACCATAGGTGATACTATACATAGTATTCCGGGCACACACACAAAAATAAAGACAGGTACCCCTTTGCCACCCCACTCTGAGTAACCGTAACTGCCAAGAAACACTCGGAAACAGCAGCAAGAGTAACAGCAGAAAGGCCGCGAATAAGCCTCACCCTTGACACACCAAGTCCCACCGCAGGGCTTGGGGCAGCACTCCAGGCCTTTGGCCGCGCATTCGTCCGCTGAGCAGGAGGACGCAGAGCAGTCGCTGACGATCCCCTCGTTGCTTGGGCACCGTGCCTCCGCTCGAGAGAAGAGGAGCCCCAAGAGCGCCACTCCGGCAAAGAAGAACACGCAGCCCTTCATGGCGATGCAGATCGGCAGACACAGTACGACGTCCCGATGGTCGGCTTTTATTACTCGTATATTCGAAAGGAAGTCGGGAATAATATGGCGACAGGACCGGTTGGACGACGTGTTGGCTTACCGGTCGTTATCAGGAGGAACTCGCGTCATCCGCAGCCAATCGGCAGCTTCCTTTTCCGAGATCGACGTACTCGTTCCGTGTTGGCCTTGAGGGTGCATACGTATACATTTCCTGGAAGTGCGAAATCTGGCAAGAATAACGTGAAGTGGGCGGAGAAAAACATACCGTAATTTCCATGTGCGTTGTGTTACCCGTCGCGTCATTGTTTTTCTTTCTTTTTACGGTGGTTGTTGTTATAGTTCGATATGTGGCAGTGGATCCGGTATGTGTTTATTTTACGTGGGCTTGCTAAATTTAGTGGGGAATCACAGTATCGTGTTTTTGTGACTACTAGTCTAACGTGACTTCATGCCAAGTTTATTTTACTTTATGTCATATCATTTATTTCACCCTCAAACGCCCTGATAGAGGCGTTATATGGCATAACAATTTTTTCGCTGAATATAGCGGAAAACTTTCTGCACCAAACTTAGCAGGAGATTTGTCGGCTAAATATAGCGCAAAATTATTCCTCTCCCGGAAATTTGGTGTCTTGTGACGTCATGGTTGCACGTGACACTGCAGTGTCACCAACGGGACTAGATTACCTCAGTTGAAAAGCTCCTGGCGGAAAAGGGGAAGGGGGGAGGAGTTCTTCACTTCAGTCCCCCTCGTAAATTCCTAGATACGGGCTTCCTACAAGTAGCGACAATCTTTGAAGCGCCGACTACGTGTCAGTGCAGCTTTTTTGAAGCGAACGGCGGCGTACAGCAGAAGAGTGAACTGAGTGACGCCATTCCGTTCCTACAGAATATGCATCGGTATGTGTTTTGTTGTCGTTACTTATAAAAAGAAGCATCGAGGAATTTTAGCCTCTCCTTGTTTGAAGCGCCATTTAGATTTTCGTTCCAAAACTATGTGTTCTATTGAGGGAGAGAGAGAAAACTTTCTTTATTTATACGCCAAGGTCCGGCGCTCAGTTGTATTTAGTCACCTACCAGTCCTCACCCAACACGTTTTTCACGTGCTGAATGAGCGCCGGCAGGAGAATATGGGCATCGGTTGGTGGACTAAGCCAGTCCGTCCATGAGTGAGGTTGGAGACTGTGAGATAGGGAGGAAAGAGAGGATAGGAGGGTAGGTTGAATGTAGGAGCATTGCCACAGGCAGTGTTCTAGAGAGGGGTATTCGCCGCAGTTGGGGCATTTCGGGCGTCCGGCAAGGCCCTGGATATAGTGGCGAAAAAGGGGAGTCACGACCGAATTGGTCTGAAGTCTGCGGAGAATGGCGCTGTCCTCCCGCGAGAGGGATTGGGGGGGAGCGATAATTGTGGCGGTGTTAGCGCGTAGTTCTCTTAAGAGGGATGTACGCTTCTTGTGCAAGAGTTTTCGGTGTTCCTTGGGGTCATAGTCGGACGGCCAGAGGCACGGAGGACCCGGAAAATTCGTAACGCGGGTGAGCTCATGAGCTCGGTTGTGTTCCTCTACGCCTTGATGTCCGGGGATCCACTGCAAGGTAACATGGAGGGAGGGATGCGTGTCAAGGTGATGTTGCAAAAGGCTGTGGATATGTCCGGGTAGCGCACCGTCACGAAAACTGCGGCATGTTTCCTGGCTATCTGTTCGAATGCAAATGTGGTGAGTAGGATGATGAGGTCGAGTGATGGCTTCAAGAACCGCTAAGGTCTCCGCGGCGGATGCGGTCGGGACATTGCTGTGTTCATTAATATGCTCATAGCCAGGCCCAACTACAGCCGTTATGCTTCTGCTGGGACTGTGACTGGCATCTGTGTAGTAATATGTGGTATCCGCTCTTGGTGTCTCGCGGTCTATCCGTTGGACTAGTTGTGTGCGTCGGGCAGCATTTTTGTCCGGATGCATATGCTGAGGTATGGGCATGACTGTGACGCGGGGTAGGGACTCCCACGGTGGGGGTGGGGGTGGTGGAAAAGGAGGCAAGGTGGTTGTGTCGTAGCCTTGATGCTCGAGGAGCTTGCGGCCTTGGGGGGATGTTCGAAGCCTTGCAATATGTGCTTGGCGGCAAATAGTGGTACGTTCTTCAAGTGTGTTAAAAAGACCAGTCGAGGCCACTAGAAAATTTGCGGCAAATCGTGGTACTCCCAGGGCTAGTCTGGTGTATCTTCGGAGCGCTGCTTCCAATTTGGAAAGCTGAGTCTTGGTGATGGATAGATATGGAAGCTGGTACAGTACACGGGAGTACACAAGGGCCTCGATAATCCTGCGAAGCTCCTGTTCCTTGAGTCCTCTTTGCCTGCGCGTTACTCTACTTAGCATGTGGTAAATCTGATTGAGCTGCCGGAGAATCGTGTCCTTCCATACGTGGGCCTTGCCATTGTCCTGTAGGAGGAATCCCAGTATTCGGATGTGAGAGCGGCGAGGAATAGGGGTGTGGTCAATGTGGAGCTTGATGCTGTCGCGTTGCTCTTCTGCTTTACGACCTGTTTGATTGGTAACTACAATGAATTCAGATTTGGTGGGAGAGCATTTGAGGCCAATACTGCTCAGGTGGTTCTGAATGACATTCAGACCTGACGGGATCGTGTATTCCTGTTGTCCAAGGGATCCTTTACAACACCAGATTGTAATGTCATCTGCATAAATGTTGTGTTGCAGGTGTGATATAGAACTGAGCTGGGCAGGTAGGTGAAGTAGGGCAATATTAAAGAGAGTGGGGGAAAGAATGGAACCTTGAGGGACGCCGGTATTTAGTGCTCGAGGTGTCGAAAGCTCTCCATTGATTTGGATTTGTACAGAACGACCAGTTAAGAAAGCTTTTATATAGTTGTAGAGGCGAGCACCCGGTTGTAGTGTCAGAAGGTTGGTAAGGATGGCTGAATGTGGTACGTTATCGAACGCTTTGAGTATGTCTACACCCGCGATTGTTCGGGTTTGGACTAGGCTAAGATTTTGGTACACGTCCTCCGAGATTCGGAGCATGGTGTCCTGAGCGCTGACGTGTGATCGGAAGCCTGTCATTGTGTAGGGCAGAGCGTCACTACTTTCTATGTGCCAATTGAGACGGTTGAGGGCCATGCGTTCCATTAATTTGCCTACACATGATGTGAGGGATATCGGACGAAGGTTGGTAATAGAGTTGGGGGGCTTGCCGGGTTTAGGGATTGGGATTATCACTGCCGCTTTCCATTCTTGTGGAAGGGTGCCAGATTCCCATGCAGTGTTTATGTATTCAAGAAGCTGTTCTAATTGTGGAAGTGGGAGGTTACGGAGGGTAGTGTAAGTAATACCGTCTTTGCCTGGAGCCGTGTTTCGTTTGAGCGAAGATAGGGCCGCATGTAGCTCACCTACCGTAAAGTTGCTGTTGATGCCTGTGTCCATTTGGTCGAGTGATTCGGGTGGATAGCTAGGAAGTTGCTCTGTACTCGGGCCGATGGGATAGAACGTTCGGTAAATTTCTTCTGCTGTCTGTTCTCGCGTCTTGCCAGAGTGCATCATAATTTTGTCCATTGTGTGTCGTGTGTAGCCCTGTCCTAGAAGCGTACGTAAAATTTTCCACACCTTAGGAGTGTGCAGTTGACCATTTAGCTGGTCACACGTTTCAAGCCAGTTTTCAGTACAAAGTTGTGCGTATTCTTCAGCTTCTAGCGTGATTTGTCGGATGGCCTTGCGAAGGCCACGATTTCCTTTTTGTTTCTTCCATTTTTGGACTAGTCTGTGTCGCTTGTTCCAAAGGTTAAGCAGATGAGAGTCTATTTGCGGGTGTTCAGGGGTGCGTGTGATATTTTTAGTGTGCTTAGATTTCGTTTCACATATGGCGTTGACCCAGGACTGTAGATCTGTCGGCCCGTGTACCTGGTCTAGGTCTAATCGAAACCGGTGCCAGTCAGTGAGGTGCGTTTTTGGGCCTGAGTGAGTGGGACGGGGCTTGATGCGAGGATCAGCTAGCTTGATTTCGATGATGTGATGATCACTGCCTAGGTTTTCGTGAAGATTCGTCCACGTGACGTTTCCCACACCGCGGTGCCAGCTGAGGTCTGGGTTAGTATCTCGCTCAACGCTGTTGCCCTGTCGCGTGGGGTCCGTTGTGTCGTTAAGGAGCGTATATCTGTTGTCCTGAGTTTTGCGTTCGAGACGCATCCCGGTTTTGGTGGTGCGCGTATAGCCCCAGGATGTGTTATGCGCATTAAAATCACCAGCTAGGATGATGTCCATGTGCTTGTGTTGCTGTGTATACGCGTCTATCCACCTCACAGATGGCCAATCGAGTCCTGGAGACCAGTACACGTTGGCGATGATAACATCTCGATTGTTGAGGCGACATTGTACTGTAACCTGCTCCTGAGTTGAGTTGTTTATAGAGGCGGTGTCGATTTGAATAGCTGGGATATGCCTAGCTACGTACGTGATGGTAGTAACCGGTATGTGGGTTCCTTGTGGGGTTTGTTTATCTTTTTTGGTGATGCTGCCTTGCATAAAGTGATCGTATCCAGGTAATGTAATAGGACTGTTGGCTTCTTGAACCAGGATGATGTCAGGTTTGTTTGTCTGTTTATGGATAAATTGTTGGAGAAGCCCTTTCTTTCTGCGGAGACCGCGGCAGTTCCACTGCCAAATTGTTAGCGAACTATTAGAGGATGCCATGTTGAGATAACGTAGGAGATAAAGGTTCCTCGATGTTAATAAGTCTGGGTATTTGCGGGCCTGCCATCGTTTGCATATTGGCTACTAATTGTTCAACTACTACGTCGGTGCGTGCGAATTCGTGTTTCACGTAGTGCATCTCGGTTTGTATGGTACGAATGATCGCGACCTCATTCCTTAGCAGCTCGAAGGCGTGTTCAAGACGTCGTATACTTGCGAGTTCCGGTGCGAACCCTGCTGTGCGGGATGCATCGGGGCGCTGAATCGTTAGGGCGTATGATGTATGTAAAGTTGGAACGCGCATGACGGGAGCTGTGTATTGTGAAGGAGAAGAGAACGGTGAAAGTGCAGATGAGGGTTGTGAACGGGCCGGCTCACCCAGCTCCGTGTTGAAGAGGTGGATCGGTATTGTGCCATGAATTACTTGAAAAGAGCAACTAAAAGAGGGAAAAGAAATTCAAATGCCTGTAGCGCAAGTCGAGCAACTGGAGACGAAAACTGGGAAAGGAAATCACGTATGGGCTTCTGCTTTTGCTTGAGTGGTGACATCTCAGCCATTTTTGCGCCCAATCGTTTTTTATGCATTTTGAAGTGCGCGCAATCCAGGTGTCCCTCAGCTCGAGCGCGTAGCTTTAGCTAATGCAATGACGCCATTTTACCACCTAAGTCCCGCACCGAGTGCGCGAGAGCGTCACGCGCTGACACATTCAGGGCAACAATGGATGTCTTCACCCTGAGACAGACAGACATGTAGGCACCCTACCATTGAGGAAGCTGAAACGCCGTCTAGACGGTATGCTTCGAAACATACTTATTGCATAGAACATATGGTGGTCCCAGCAGCGGTGCTTAATGTGACAGACGCATGTTCTCCTGCAAGTCACCCACCAGCTTGACGGTCTGCGGAAGCTCCGGCAGCCGGGAGTTGGGAAGCTGTGACGGCAGCATAAAGCGCGTTCTCTTGCGCTTCCTTTTAGAACTTCTGCGCCCCACGGCCAGGAACGCGACGTCCGACAGCATGGCACTGCGGCTTTTGTGACGTCATTTGTTGCCGCTTATGGACCGCTTTGATGTATGGTCAGGATAGGACGCTAAACAGGCCTGTCGAGACGCGCTCTCTGGACACCGTCTCGGCTTTAGCCACAGTTAATTTGCAGGACATGGTTAGAAATCGGAAATTTTTTTCGTTATACAGTTACCCAAGATAACACTTCCGCTTCTTCAGCCAACTGTGCGATTGCGTTACCGCTTGGAGTGCAAAGTTCCCGACATCACTTGGAACCCGGGAAGACTCGCGGGAGGTTCGAAAATGTACTGCCCTTGAACAACTCTCCCTAGAAGACAGAATACCCAACTGTCATTGCCCTCTTTTCATTTTTTTTTTGTAGAGACGGCGTTGGAGATGTGGTATATAAGGCGTGTATGAAATAAACTTTGCAGCTGAATTCGAGATGTTGCCTCCTCTTTTTCTACCTTCTGTTGTGTTCTCTTTTCTGCCCCAGTCTCAGGTTTACAATCATGTTCAACAGAATATCTGTTCACACATCCGATGGCATCGTGACCTGTTTCAAGGTTAGATAAACGATTCGTTTGTTCTGTGCGGTTCGCATATAGGTCAATAGCAACTACAAACAGCTTAGTTTTTTTTCGTTTTTTTTTTTTTTTTTTTACGTTTCCGATTTTGAATTTACCGCATGTATTTCTTAAGGCCTCTACGTATGAGAGCGTTTGAGTGCGTTTAACTGCTTTGCGTCGAGAAACAAAAGCGAGCCACCGGAACATCTGTCCTTAGTATGAAGCGTCGAATCCAATTCAAGGAATAGCTTGGCACTCGACAAAAGAAACAGGAATGTTCTGAACTCTTGTAGCTACAACGCAGTCAAACGCTTTCAAACTCAACTGTGCGTAGGGGCCTTTGCCTTTCATGACGTGCGTGTGGAAGTGTGTGTCTGCTTTGCAGGTGGGGGACACTACCGATGCATACTGTTTTAACGTCCCGTTGGAAATACATTTAACACGTTCCTTGCGTAACTATTGTAAAGTAATCGAACCGTAAAATCGTGGGCGTCAGTCCGGCGCGGCTCGACACTTAAAGGGGACTCACCCGCTCGTCACTCAATGAACTAATTGCGGTACACAAACCTGAGCTTGAAAAATGCACGAGAGTATTAATGTTTTTGAAGACCAATTATAAAGACATAGTGAAGGTCGTACGGCCCTTGAATGTTTCCTTGAGAGCGCTAGAGATATTCAATAAAATCCAGAAATATGATCGTTGTGACTGTTTTGAGCGTGTTTTGAGGCATTCTTGAAAATAAAATTACTTAGAAAGCGAACATGACAAAACGCTTGGCCGTACGTACTAGGGGTCGCTCAATCTTAATTTTAAGACCATGACGAGGGAACTTAATATTGTTGTACTTGCGTATTTGTGTAAATAAACTCGCCCTGTTAATATTATTTTTAGCGTGTTAAACCAGATGGCGACGCTAGTACCAAATGCCTCATACCGGAGATTTTCTTGTTGTTGTTATTTTTCACTCGAGCTCCAATAGTAGTAGTAGTAAGCGTTTTATTGGAAAGGAAAACCTGAACAGTTGGCCACTCCTAAAAATGGGGGCGAGTCAGTTCAGGATTGAGGAATGGGTTAGAGGAGAGTCAGATTAAAAGAAAAGAGAGAGAGAGAGAGATAAAAACAAAGGGAAGGGGTGGATGACTGTCACTTGTTGGCACTCTGCACTTAAGGTCGGATACTTGTGGTTTATAGGCGATCGAATAATTCTGTGTCTTCTAAAAATGTGAGGAGACGTGCGAATGTTTTAGAAGCGGTCCCGGCCGGACCCGGAGGAAAAAGAATTTCCTCTGTAGTGGCATGTGCGACGCCGGCGCACTGCAGGCCGTCGATGAGGGATCTTCTCTCTTTCGTTAACGCCGCGCAGTCCCAGAGGAGGTGGTCGAAGTCCTCAGGAACATTGCAGGTTGGGCAGAGGGGGTCGACGGCAGAGTTTATGCGGTGGAGGGCTTTCGCCGTGAAGGCACATCCGGTGCGTAGCCTATGCAGCAAGGAGGTGCTGGATCGTTGTAGCTTCGGTGGGACACGTACAGGAGGTTTTCCGCAAGAAACCCGTGGGTCCGGGTGATGAACGATTATATCTTCATGTATAAGTAGTTTAGCTTCGTGTATTTTAGGTATTGTTACCACTGGGACATCAAGGTGATGAGCCGCTGCAGCGAGTTGGTCAGCGGCCTCATTGCCCGAGATGCCAGTGTGCGAAGGCAACCACTGAAAGGTTAATTGCCAGCCCTTTGCTTGTAAGCTTCTCGCTACGTGCGCGACAAATCGAGCGTATTGCGGTGCGTCTTCAAGACGATCTAGCTGTTGCAGCGCCATCCTAGAGTCTGTGAGGATTAACGCTTTGCCACATTGAGGGAGGTTGTTAAGTGAGTCAAGGGCAAGCCAAAGTGCCACAAGTTCGGCAGTTGTCGACGTAGTATAAAAACTTAGCTTCCTGGACTCGGTCATGTTGAGCGCTGGGATACACATGGCAGCAGTAGACGACTTACGGCTATGAAGCACAGAGCCATCGGTGTATACCCGCAGCCAACCAGCGAAGGACGTTTCCATGTGGTCTTCAACAAGGCTCCGGACTACAGGTTGGGCTGTGTTCCGTTTACTTTTGAGAGCGGGAACAGACTCATTGATGTTTAGTGGTGGAGCGTATGGTGGTGGAGTCATGTAGATGATGTCTGGGTCACCAACGAGTGCTCTGAATTGCGCTGCCAGTTGTCCGAGGTACGAGAGTGGACGCTGATGAAAACGCTTTAGGAGTGGACCTGTTGATTGACAAGATGACTGTCTTGCCATGTGCCGAAGTGTCAGCTCCCTGCCGTGATTTTCAACGAGATTGACCCTGGCTTCCACTAACGTTGGGGTATTTGGGGAGTATCTTGGTAGGCCCAAGCATAAACGAATTGCGACTCGTTGAAGAGTCTCTATAGCCGAGGATTGGGTGCTGCTGGTGCGGACCAGCGGCAAGGCGTATTGTAGACGTGAGAGGATGAGCCCTCTATAGAGCTGCATCATCATGGCCTGGGGTGTTCCCCACCGACTGCCCATAATCATTCTGATGGCGTTGAGATGCCGGCGACACCTTATGATGGTTGTCTTCACCGCGGGGCGCCAGGAGACGCGGTCGTCTAACAGGAACCCCAGATAGGTGTATGTTCGGACTCGTGCCACATCAGACCCGTTGATGGTATAGACCCTGTTGATAGATGATCTGGCCGTCGGATGATATTGAAGGACTGCGGTTTTGGAGGCGGAAAGCGTAAGCCCTAGTCTTGATATTTCGTTTGCTACTGCTGTTAAGCCTTGCTGGAGCGTTCTCTGCATAATGCTGTATGTGTTAGTAGGAGCTGTAGCCCAAAGGGCTACATCGTCAGCGTAAATTGCCATGTTGATAATCTGCGAATGGCTGTTTATGCGTCGTAAGACGTCTGGGAGAGCTGCCATGACTATATTGAACAGAAATGGGCTTATGACGCTGCCCTGGGGAACGCCTTGAGCAACGTTACGTTAAGAACTGAGCGTTCCGTTTAGGCGAACGCGCATTGTGCGCCCACTTAGGAATGCACGTATGAATGCCAGCGCCCGGCCAGATACTCGAAACTTAAGAAGTTGAGCAATGATGGTTGTATGAGGAACAGCGTCGAACGCTTTCTTGATGTCAAGAAAGATGGCCCAGGTGGCTTGGCGCATCGCCTTAGCTTGCTCCATATCTGACACGAGGTCGCCAATCGCATCTGTTGTAGATCGATGTCTTCGGAAACCACAGAGCTGGTGAGGTAGGGCACCAGAGGTCTCAAGTTGCCAGTCAAGGCGTCTCAGAATCATTCGCTCCAGAATCTTTCCGAGGCAGCAAGTGAGGGAGATTGGTCTGTATGAGCTCGTTTCACATGTGGGTTTTCCTGACTTGTGTATTGGAACGACCACAGATGTCAGCCAGGCGGGAGGGAGTACCGACGTTCTCCAGATGTTGTTTAGGTACGCAAGGAGTCCTGGGAGGGCCATAGAGTCAAGGTTCCGCAGTGCTTGAAAAGTAATTCCATCAGGACCTGGTGCGCTTCGTTTGCGAGAGGCGCAGCGAAGAGCATTTTTAAGCTCCCGCAGCGTGAAATCCGAGTCGCTGGAGGACGAAGGTGGTGACCGGAGCTGGGGGGAGGTCGTGCTGCCTGTGACAAATCCAGGAGGAGTTATAGGAGCAGAAGTGAATTCATCGGCGAGCAGCTCTGCCGCTTGAGCCAAGGTGATGTTCTTGGCGATGACAATGCCGAGGGCAGGTGAGCAAGGAATGGCATGCCCAGCTAGGACACGAGCCATGCGCCACGCTCGTCGTCCACCACCAGGAGTATGAAGCGTCTCACACCGCTGTCGCCACTGTCTTCGTTGCAAGCGATTGGTGTGTCTACGGAATGCAGCGTCGACCCGCCGGTAGTGTTGAATGTCCTCCTGTCGCGATGTTTTGAGTGCGCGTCGCTGTAGCTGTCGGCGCAAAGCACGGAGCTTGATGTATGTCAGGTCTGGGTTTGGTCGATATATTGGAATGGTTACAGTTCGGGTTGATTTGGAGAAGGCCTGAGCTATTGCTGTCATGTAATCGGCATTGTCAAGAGACATTAGTTGCTCAAAGTACATCCGGTAGTTGTCCCAATTCGTCACCGTGCAAGCCTTGTGTGTGACGGGTGCGCTCGATAGGGAAGTGATCTTTATAGGAATATGATCACTGCCCCAGCTATCGGGTTCCGCTGACCATATTACGCATATCGAGTTGGTAGCAAAACTCAGGTCAAGTGCACTACGCTCTACTCCTGGGCGTACAAACGTAGCGGTTCCGTCGTTCAAGCAGCGGAGACCAATGGCTGTGGTATATTCTTCCAGTAATCTGCCGCGTGCTGACGTTTGTTTGTCTCCCCAGGTCTCGTTATGGGCGTTAAAATCCCCCAGCAGCAGCGTGGCTGGTGCACACCTAGAGAGTATTGTACCTAATATCGTAGGGTCCCAGGAAACGTTAGGCCGTACGTAGGCTGTGACGATGGTTAGGTTTGAGTTACCTTTGTTGATTGTCACAGCCACGTATTCAGCTCTGTGGTCGCAGAGATCAGAAAGATACACTTGTACTTGAGGTAAGTTCCGGTGAATGTACAAGGACGCCTTGGGTGCATCTGCTGATGTTGAAGTTGTTCGGGGCGTGCTGTTGTATATGACGTATGGTGATAGTCGGATCTCTCCCAGCTTAATGTTAGTTTCTTGTAGCGCTAACACTTCGACCTGGTGTCTTTGTAAGTGCTGCCTTAAGTCGTTTATTCGTCTCCGGAGACCGTTAACATTCCACTGGATAATTGATGGGATGAGGTTCGTTTTGGAGGGGCACGGAAGTCTATTTCTTGTTACATGTATTTTTCCGTTGTTTTGGGCTGATTTCTCACCGATGCAGTCTAATGACATCAGGAGGTGATGAGTGGTACAACAATGTCAATTATTGTGATTAATGATTGTGCAAATTGAGAATGTAGGGAAGCCAGGAAGGTGCGCAGCATTGTGGTAAGTGTGCAAAGCGCATTCCCGAGGCTTTGTGGCTTAGGTGCTGCGTCAGATCTTGAATTCTTGTAGGTAGGTTGTACGCTGGACTTCCTAGTTGGGTTTTGCTTATCTTTCAGAGGACCGGTCATAGTAGCTTCCTCAGCGCTTGAAGATGCTGAAGGCTCTACAGTAGTAACTGGTGTCTTTGGCGTCGTTGTGGCTGGCTGTTTCTTCGAAGGTGGGAATTCATTCTCACTGTTTAATGGAATTGTGATCCCTTTGTCTTCATTTGTGCGTTGAGGACGCCTCCGAGGTGTCCAGTACCTTCCTGCGCCGCGGGTTTCTTGGTTGCTGATGATGGCTGACTTTGCTGAAGTGTAGTCCATATTGTTTGAGCTTTTGTAATTTGCAATTTGTTTTTCCACCTTGTAGATTGGACACCTTGGTGACGTGGCGTCATGGCGCTTGCTGCAGTTCGTGCACTTAGGTTGTTCTGCTCCGCACGTGCTGATGTCGTGTTCGCCTCCGCATCGGCTACAGCGCTGCGCTTTAGAGCAGGTACTTGCAATATGCCCGAAGCGGTTACACTTCGGACATTGTCGTGGCTTTTCCAAGTATGGGAAGACTTCATATCGAGTGTGGCCTATATAGACGTGCTCGCATGTCACTCCCGAAGAGAAGGTGAGCTTTACTGCCTCCGAAGTTCCAAGTCTTCTTACTTGAATTACAGGCACTTTTTCTCGTAAAGATGCGCAAAGTTCAGCGTCTGTGATTTCAGTGGATACGCCGCGAATGACTCCAACGTAAGCAGATGGTGGAGGCGGTTCATACGTCACAACTTGAACCGCACCTAGGCTCTTGAGTCGGAGTAGGGCTTTTGTGGATTCCACATTACGTGTGTCGAGGGCCAGCAGATTGAGACGATAGTTCGGTCTGATCTGTATGATGCCCTCAGGAGCGACGTCCTCCAGTTTCTTTTTCAGAACCAAGGGGTTGAGGTTGGTTACGAGTTTTGTTGGGTCAGTAGGCTTGACAATGACGGTGAGATTTGAAAGTGGTTGACTTATAATGGTTGATTGACTCGAATTAGAGCCATGGCGTCTCTTCTTTGTCATTTGAGTCGTCCATTTGTCTCCATCGTCAGGCTCATCCGTCATAGAAGCATCGTCGTCAGTGATGGCGGGCTCACCAGATTCGACGTCGGCGGATGCTGGCTTCGGTGCTTCATGGATGCTCATATCCGTTGAACCCCGAAGGGTGGAGACGGATCTTTGGAGTACCGAAGGAAGATGCTCCGAGGAGTTCCGGCCGGTACGTTGGCTGTTGATTATCTAAAATACTACGATCTCTCGGGAGCGATGAGAACGATCGTCCTTCCGCAAGCGTCGTCGTCCTCGAGCTCCAATTCGACCGCGATGTCTGGTTGCTCGGGGATCGGTAGCACGTGTAGCGAAAGCTCGCGCTGTAAAGCCCACTGATCGTAGATACAATCCCCCGCCGCTGCCCGTTTCAATCTGGATGAGCATCGTACACCGGCGTGCTGTCATGTATCACCATTGCGTGATGTACGTTAGAGACGTCCGTCAAGCAGCGGTATACTGCGCTGGATTTTATCTCCAACAAAGACACCAGACGCCTTCGGGCTGACTAACGTCCCGCTTTCTAAACATACACACAACAATATTACAATTGATGGTGCCGTTGGTCTGCACTTTTTTAACGTTGCAAAATAAAAATAACTAACGTGCCCATTAGTGACCGACCCGAGGTTCTGCAACTTTGTCGCGAAGCTGGCACACACCTGCGATCAACTTAGACCCATCCTTCGTGATGCTTCAATGTGCATTATCGCTGCCGCACATTATATCGCGCCACATTATTATTATCCCCCCTTAGACGGGCCTCACAGGCGTTCATTGTACGGGCTGCACTCCTCTCTGTGGCGCCTGCGCTTACGAGGAAAAAATAAATACTGACCTACCTACAGACTATTATTTTGATATTATGCGTTACATCACAGAGCGGTCGTGTTTCTTGATGACCCGGGGAAAAGTTCGATGCTTGCAAGTGCTGCCGAAACCAGATTTTAACGACCAGTGAGAATAATTGCCATGCATAATAGGTGTTTAAATGACTATACACACAGTTGCGTTTTAGTGCGTTCGACTCGCTGCGCCAAAAAACGGTATCGAGTCACCGGCGCATCTATTGCACTGTATTCCTGGCGGCTATCGGTGACGACATCGCGCCCGTGTTCCATGCCACAGTTTCGTCCCTCCCCTTCACCAAGCCAGCATCATCGTCAACGACAGCAGGATTCTCTGCGAATTTAAGCGCCTGGTCACCGCAGGACGCTTTCAGTGGGCACAGAGGAGCGGCGGCTATGCGGTCGCTTCAAAATCCCTTCTGCTTCATTCTGCAGATTTTGGCCTTCCTTGGGACAGGGCTACCTCCTCCTCGACAGCCAGCCACCATCTCTGCACCGTCATCATGCACTGTATTCCTGGCGGCTATCGGTGACGACATCGCGCCCGTGTTCGATGCCACAGTTTCGTCCCTCCCCTTCACCAAGCCAGCATCATCGTCAACGACAGCAGGATTCTCTGCGAATTTAAGCGCCTGGGTAGCTAAACTCGTCGAGCACAACTTTGTGCCCGAAAGTTGCGGAACGCGCTAATTGGACTCACGCGACGCTGACGTCAAGCCGAGCTAAGTGTCAATCATCCAAGCTCTCTCGGTGCTCAAATTCTAGCGAGAATGTGAAACAAAAAGTCGTAGCGAGCTCCATCGAAGCGCGTGCGAGCAACACCGTGGTGCCAGCCGATTGAACGGCTGCACTGATGACGTCTCGCCCGAGTGTCCCTACATCCCTACGCCGCGTTAGAGTCAATGATGCGTAGATTGTACCTAGGCGGCCGGTAAATACTCTGAACTTTCTCGCAGCAAGATCGTCGTTTGTGGAAGTTATTGGTGACGACGAAGTGACGTTTCACAACTTTGGGAAGGAGTTATTTGAGGCCAAAATCTTCGCTTCGGAAACGAGGCGAAGATTGAACTTTGTGATGTTGTGGAGCCGTGCGCGGTCTACGCGGCCGGCTTTATAGAGCTCATCTTCCGCCACTGTCAACAACGCCACCCGGGTCACCCACAGGCGGTTTTTGTAGAGACGTCGGTAATGTCTGAGAGATGAGGAGAAACAGGGGATAACAAAAAAAAAAAAAAAAGCCGAAGAAAGGGAAATAAAAAAAAATTTAAAGACGTTTACAAATCTTTGTAATGCGAAATTAGAACTCAACTCTTGAGGAGGAATAAGATGGGTACGGAGAGGAGGGTATGCCCCTCTTCCTCTCCTCCCCTCCTCCTCCCATTCAGTTTCTCCGCTAAATTTAGCAGGGAAAAGGACGTCACATGACAATCTAGCGGAGAAGTGAATTGGCGTTGAAGTCACGTAGCTGGGAATTGAATTGGTGTTGAGGTCATGTGACGTCCATTTCGCGCTAAATTTAGCGGGCCGGTTACGCCAACGGCGACGCCCACACCGTTGGCGTAACCGTTGGCGGAACCGCCGTTGGCAAAACCCGGAAACGGGCGCCGAAGAGCTGCGCTCTAAAAAAAGAGTTAAGGTACGACCAACACACACACAAACACACACACACACACACACACACACGCGCGCGCGCGCACACACAAACACACACACACACACATACACACACACACACACACGGACACACACACACGCACACACACACACACACACACAAACAAATAGGGGTCTCAAGAAGGGCCGTATAAATTGTTCGGGAAAGAGAGAGAGAGAGAGAGAGAGGAGGCGATGGTGGTGAAGAAGGGGGATAATCCTTTCCCGTAATATTTTATTATAACTCTCTGAAATGCTATGGTGGTTCGGGGCTGGGGCGATACTCCCCCCCCCCCCCCCCCCCCTTCCACCCTTATGCCCCTTGCCCCCTCTTTCGACGCAACTGGGGGAGGGGGGGCTAAATCCCCCCTTCCCATCCTCCTGTTTCAACGACCCTGCTTAGAGGTGTTCCAATGAGCAATGACGAGGAACAGCACAGCCTGCAATTTTCAAAATAACGGTTCAAGAGATTCTGGAATTAAAACGGCTCGCGTTCCATGAACTCAAGAGTGGCCGTGAGAGACTTTCAAGCGAAAGACTCGTGCCAGGGCACGTATGTAGTGTGCGGGCGCGTTCAGTGACGTAATTTTATAGTTGATACTAGAGCCACTAAATGAGCTGCGCTTAGAGTATCGGCACTCCGTTCCCCGGCATTGTTGTGGGCGCCGCCATTTTGGCTCGTATGCAGAGCAGACACAACTACCGATCGTCATGATTAAAAAGTGCGACTTCCTCAGCTTTGGATTCGGTGTTAGGAAGGTCGCGCAAAGTTGCTTTGCTCTGTCACGAACTGTTTAAACATTTGTGGAGGGCGGAAAGGCGTTTCCCTTGATTTCAGATAAAGCTTCAGATAACTGGCAACCATGATTTTAAGCCACAATATGGCCAAGTGTCGTTACTCTAAAGCGTAGCTTATTTAGTGGCACTAGTTGATACCTTTGACGATGGAGTCAGGATTATCAGTTGTGAACGACAAATTTGATGGTGCGTGTTCAAATCGACGATGTCAAGTTTAGTGTCCTTGCGTTCTTGAAGCATCACCGCCAATATTGACAACCTGACATTACTTTTATTACCTTATTTCCGTTCATAAACATACTTAATCCCAAACTGACTACCATAAAATGATTTTATCCCGCCGATGAAGGGACAATTGCCCGGAGGCGAAATTCGCCCGAAAGTGGACAACGGTAGTCGGCTGGTTGTGATCTAGCCACGTCGGGCTACACTTTGGCCAGATTCGAAAGGCCGAGATAAATCAAAAGAACGGCAGGGACGCTTTTTTGTAAATTCCGCTTTATCGGGGGAAATAAGAACGATACCAGACTATCAACTTCGACGGTGTTGATTTTAAAATGCAATTCCCAAGCATCCATCGTGCTTTTTAGAGACCATCAAACATGACGGTCGCAGCTGATAATCTTTGTTGTGACGTCACACGTATGAGCCACGGTCGTCTCCGCGTGCTCTCTAGTGCTGCTCTTGTTCGGTGCCTAGGGAGGCGTAGGGATGTTTCGTCCCCTCAACGAAAAACGTCACGAAGACAGACTGATCTGCGGGTTTGTGAGAAAAGAAAACTTCGCAGCAATCTTTCGGCTCCTCCCCCCACTATGTCATAACACAAAGAATATTTTTGTTGACGAGTTTAGCGACCCTGGTCACCGCAGGACGCTTTCAGTGGGCACAGAGGAGCGGCGGCTATGCGGTCGCTTCAAAATCCCTTCTGCTTCATTCTGCAGATTTTGGCCTTCCTTGGGACAGGGCTACCTCCTCCTCGACAGCCAGCCACCATCTCTGCACCGTCATCATGCACTGTATTCCTGGCGGCTATCGGTGACGACATCGCGCCCGTGTTCGATGCCACAGTTTCGTCCCTCCCCTTCACCAAGCCAGCATCATCGTCAACGACAGCAGGATTCTCTGCGAATTTAAACGCCTGGTCACCGCAGGACGCTTTCAGTGGGCACAGAGGAGCGGCGGCTATGCGGTCGCTTCAAAATCCCTTCTGCTTCATTCTGCAGATTCGTAAATACCCATCTTTTCACGTTAAACGATCCTGTAATGGCTTTCTGCTGCTCCTCCAGTGCCCGCTGGTTTTTCTTAGAATTGCTTATATGTGTGTTCACGTTTTTAAGTTACTTTTGTTGTCTGGGGACGTTGAATTAAACCCCGGCCCTATCACTAACGCTGATATTCTGGCTGCCATTGCTGAACAGTCTTCTAAAAACGATGCGCGTCATACCGAAATGGTTGACACGCTAAATCAGGTCAAGGATAACCAGCATCAGCTAGAACTAAAAGTGTTAGACATCAATTCAAGACTTGCAGCAGTCGAATCACTTGTAGAATTACTAGATGTGCCAAAGCATCCTACTGAACTGTCTAATGTTGTTAGTGAGGCCGTCCGAGGCGAAACTACCGTTCTGAATTCAAGACTTAATGAGCTTGAAGATAGATCCCGTCGTGACAATTTACTTTTCTACGGTATCGCCGACACCCTTTCCGAAGACTGGTTGCAGTCAGAATCTCATATCCGCGATAATCTTTCCACAATATTAGGACTAGATCTACCTGGCGAGGCAATATCCCGTGCTCATA